TACCCTATTATATTCAAATCCACAGGTCTCTCTTGCACTTTGGAAGAACCCATTACCCATGCAATGATTTGGACATGAAGCATCGGCTTACAAATTAGTGGTTCACTTATTTTTGCAAATCTTCTAAAATATTGACATACAATACTGAAAAGTCACAATGGTTATTACCACAGAGTTTTTAAGAGTCTGAAGTATTGGGAACAGGTCAGACCCCTGGGAGCAAATTTAAGCTTTCCAACATTCTCGTTTTCATTTGAAAGCTCAAGTTTTATTACCAGCAACTATGCGTTGTTTTCCTTGAAGTGACATTTTGTTCATTTTTGAGAAAATATCTGCCAGAATAACCATATGTTATTCTTTCATGTAAAAGGGATGTTCCTTTCAAAGAAAAAAGAAAAAAGAAAAAAAAGTAGCTAATTCAGCCTGAAAAATGAAAGTTTTCCTCCAGAGAACTACTGTACTTCAGTGAGATCACACGTGCTTCATAGATACTCCCCATTTACTCACACCCAATGTTAAAGAGTAAGGATTTAATAAACTTGGTCTTTTTTTGTTGCTTCACCAAGGATATTGACTGAAACGAGTGTGTTTTTGCCGTATGTGGTGATGAACACGTGGGCACTAAGGCGCTTTGGATTTTGGCTTTGATGCATGCTAGGGTGCTAGCAGAGTTACCCAACATCACCACTGAAAATTCAACACAGTCATAAAGGCAAATCACAATTCACGGACATTAAGAAACATTTCATCTTGGGGCACCTGGACGTCTTAGGGGATCTTCAGGGGTTCAAGGTCCACACTTCAGACACCACTGTCTGATGCTAATCATGGCCCAGCCCCAGAGCCCGGATTAAAGCCAACTTCCCCGAAATAGGGCCTTGGCTGGAGAGGGATTGACATCTGATCCGAATGAAAATCCTCAGGTCAAGAGGCGAACAGGGCCATGGATGTACAAACATCCACTAACAGAAGCACAGGTGAAGAACTAGAATGTTATTACAACTCTAACCTCTAGGCGAGAAAGTTGGAAAGAGACGTTCAGATTTCATCCAATATATATTTTTTAAAGTATTATTTAGGTCTTTTGGAACAAGGATGCCTGTTTTAGTTTTACAAGTAAAAAATAAAGGCTTGCATGGTAGCTGACCAATAGAGGCAGAGTACTGGGCTACAATTTTAGGTTGTTGGTGAATAGAAGGTATTCTTGTTCGGGATCTTTCCTGCACTCACGGTGACACAAGTGTTTCCCTTTGTTTCTAAGGGCATCACATCCAGATCAGCACCCTGTTACCACCTGGACAGTCAATTTACACTACCTAGAACAATTAAAAAAAAAATTCTTTCAAACCTTTCAGTAGTTTTCCAGATCCTTTGGGATAAGGTCTAAAATCATTTACATGTATCATAAGTCCCACCGTCATGTGGTTCTTCCCAATCTTTCCTTTCCTGACTCAACCCCTACCATCTTTGTCTCCTTCCCTTGCCCCACTTACTTTCTCCACCGATAGTTTTCAAGAACTATTCCATGGGGAATCCCTGAAAATATGTAAAGATGTGGTCATGAGTAGTTCTAAGGACCTGACTTTCAGATGCTTAACTTTCCTGAAACTGATCTGCCTATGAAGACTCCTGGGAGTCCAGACCCACCTTGCATTTCACAATGGTCCCCACCCACTTGGTCCACCTCAAATCTTAACTACATTGTACTGCACTGCGGAGGTGGAAAGGTTTAATGAACTTGAGGACACCAAAAGATAATTTAAAATTTCTTTTAATTAAGGCATCATTAAGACAGGCGTTGTCAATAAAACTTTATTTACAATAATTATCAGATTTTGTATACACACTGATTCACTGTATATTGCTAACAACAGCAATACCTAATCCAGGGGAAATTTTTACTTTTCGATACTTGATGATATAGTCTGAGCAATAAGAGACTTTGAATCATAAAAGGATATTCCATTAAGTTAAATTCTGGGTACAAGTGGAATGAAATATGTTTTCAAGGAGAAAAAGAAAGGATCAATGTAAACTTCTAATTGGTAAAAACCTTAACTATTTATTTTTTATTTATTTATTTATTTATTTTCAAGAGAGCACATGAGAGGGGGGAGGGTCCAAGGGAGAAGCAGACTCCCTGCCGAGCAGGGAGCCCGATGCAGGACTCCATCCCGGGACTCCAGGATCATGACCTGAGCCGAAGGCAGTCGCCCAACCGACTGAGCCACCCAGGCGCCCCAAAACCTTAACTATTTAAACAGATGATGATGGGTAATAAATTGCCATGGTATTCATAATCCATTCAGACCATTTAAAAGATTTCTGTAATCACTTTATTTTAAAATATCATAACTCATCAGAACTTACTTTTGTAACTAACTAAACTTCCAATAAGAACAATTTTAGCTATTAACTTAAAAATGTGTGAGGGAAATACAGTTCTTTTAGGGGGCATCCAATTTTTTTTTAAGTGTGGCCCATTCCATGGGGCTCCCGGGTGGCTCATTAGGTTAAGTGTCTGCCTTTGGCTCAGGTCATGATCTCGGGGTCCTGGGATGGAGCTGCTCAGCAGGGAGTCTGCCGCTCCCTCTCCCTCTGCCCTCACCCCACCCCTAGCTTGTAAGCGCACTCTCTCAATAAAATTAAAAAAAAAAAAAAAAAAAAAGCGTGGCCCATTCCAATGCTCCACACAGGGCTTTTCAGTGCTTGGGTACGCGGCGCTCTCAGCTTCCGTCCTCAGGATACGAAGTTCTCACTTGGGAGGTTCTTCCTCTTCCTCTTATTTCTAGCTGTCGCCTAGCTAACTCCACCATTAAGTTCCATTTTAAGTGTCACTCTGCTTGAGAAGCGTTCTTTGTACCCAGACTAAATGAAATCCCAATACATGTTCCCATGGTACCATGCATTTCCTCTTCACGTAAAACTCACCCCACGCACAACCCCTCACCACACCTAAGCAGCAGAAAGGCACAAAGAGAACCAGTCTTTTCACTGTTCTATCCCAGTGCCGGTGTATGCAGGCCACGGTAGCTGTACTTCTCTAAAGAACCATTTTTCTAGAGTGGTAGAAAAGGAAGTCAGACTGCAAGGGATTAAAACAATGTACGAGGTAAGGAGGTAGAAGCAGGGAATGAGGGTTGATTAGAGCTAAGAAGGGAGTAAGTGCGCAGAGGGGAGAGTGAATCTGCCACTGTCACCAGGAAGAGAGAAGAGCACAGGACTAACCAGGCAGGCAGGGCTGGGCTTGGATATAAATGGGGACAAGAGAAACTTAAGCTCTCAGAACTTTACCACTTGGTGATGAACAGTCACTGGGGCGTAATTCACGGAAAGCAACGTATTTCCATACGTCACACATATTTACTGACGTCATGCATACAGATCGTAATGTGAACACTGAGCCTGCTTTCTCTCTTCATACATTTTCTCCTAACTGTAGGGAGGTCTGGTCCCAATCCAAGGAAGCATGAGTGGTATTGGAGAGGCACACTATCCACACCCATGACTTTTGCCCTCCAAAAAGAAATCTAGTTTTTCTCACAGGCCATTACTTTCCACAGAAAGAGACGGGAAACCCTGTTCAAAGTCTTCCTTTGGGGTAATGCTTCCTGTTGGCAATATACTGTCCAAATACTTGTTCCTTGAGAACTCTATTCACCTGGCTTTGTCTCCTAACGTGACCACCTACCAATCATGTTACGTGATGTCAATCACATACACTCACAGAACGTAGCCACTGTCCTGGCCCTTGTTAGAATTTTCCATTAAAACAGCTCCCTGCATAAAGCTACCCCACAGGCTTCCGTTAAGAAAAAATATATATTTTTAATGAAAAAAAAATTTTTTTCACTCAAAGCATTTGGCATTCTTCGGAAGTGCAATTGTCCCCAGAAAACGTTACACATTAAACCACTTTTACTGAAGCCAAAGGGCCGTAGAAGGATCCAGAAGGTCTCTGGATCTGTTTTTACATCAATAAAACAACTGCCCCGCCTTCCTAGATTTTTGTGAAGGTCACACAAGTAGGTCAGTACTTTACATATTCTATATGTACAGTCCAGGTACTTTTAAGTACTCCCCCCAAAATGAGGCTCCTTATTGAAACAAAATGGGAAGACGGAGACCCAGGCGCTGAGGAAGTGAAGCCGGAGTGAACCTGAAAGGTCTGACAAAGTGTGCAAAGCACCTCGTGAAAAGGCTGTCCAGCCGAGCGCCAGCTAACAGGCAAGTCCCGTCACCACCGTGATGGAAGAAGCGGCCTGCTTCCGAACCACCCTAGTGGCGGGGGAGGGGGAGGGAGGGAGTCGGGCGCGCTCGCTGGGGAGAAGGCGAAGCAGCGGGCAAGGCGGACCGTGCGGGAGCCACCAGAGGAGGAGGGGGGGCATCCCGCCGAGCCGAGCCCTGGGCGGATGACCCGGGGCGGAGCTCTGATAGCGCTTATCACACCCCGTCGTACCGGTCCAGGTTTGTCGATTTGGCCTTCCCAAACTCAGCCTGGCAAATATTTGCTGAATGCGTGAGTCCTCCCGACTGGAGACAGCAAGGTCTGCAGCACATTTGAGACACAGGGCATCCCGGGGACCAGGGGCCCACAGAGCGTGCGAGCGGAACGCGGGGCCTGCCCTCCAACCACCCCGGGCCCAGAATCCACCGGACGGGACCCAAGACCGCCCGGGCCCCCTCCTCCGGCCCGCACGCACCTTCTCCTACGGGGCCTGTCAGCCGCCACCTTCCTTCCCGCGTCTGCCCGAGACGAAGCTTTGGAGCATGCGTAGCGGACAGACCCTGGCTGGCCGCGCGTCCGGTCGGCAGTTGCGCTTCAACTGTCAGCGCGTTCGACCAATCAGAGGATGTGTTAAGTTCACGGACTCCCGCCCCCTACGGGGGACTATGGCAACAGAAGGCCAATCAGGCGGCGTGTTGTTGCCGCGGAGCCCCGCCCCCGTCAGGGGCGCTGGGCGACGGGCGAGGGTCAAGGGGTGTAAACGCTTCTGAGCTACTGAGCCTCGGAGGGCCGCGGCATCCCCTTGCCCCGCGGCCGCGAGCAGCGCGCCCGGCGCCACACTCGCGGGCCGGCCCAGCGTCAGGCGGCCGCGCGGCCCATGCGGCTGGGGGCGGCGGCCGGAGCGGGCTCGGGCTGGGCGTCTCAGGTGCAGCCGGCTGCCCGGAGAGGTGAGGGGGCGGTGGCGGGGCCCGGCCCGGCCCCGTGATTGGCCGCGGGCTGAGGGCCGCGGGGCGGCCTGGAGGCGTCCCGGGCGGGGAGCAGCCGGCCGAGCCTTCCGCGCGCGGCCCCGGCAGGATGCTGCTGTCCCTGGTGCTCCACATGTACTCGATGCGCTGCGTGCTGCCGGCCGCCGTGCTCCTGGGCACTGCCCCCACCTACGTGCTGGCCTGGGGGGCCTGGCGGCTGCTCTCCGCCTTCCTGCCCTCCCGCTTGTACCAGGCGGTGGACGACCGGCTCTACTGCATCTATCAGAGCATGGTGCTCTTCTTCTTCGAGAACTACACCGGCGTGCAGGTGAGGGGCACTGCCCGCCCTCCGCTCCCCCGCGCCGCCCCTGCCTGCCCGCTCTCCACCCGGGTCCCCGCTGGGAACCATTCACCCCGCGCCCCGCCCCCCGCCCCTGGGTACTTTGGGATCGTTCAGCTCTGCCTGGCACATGCGGCCCCCAGAACACGTGCCATCACCCTGTCCTCCCTCGGCGAGGGAAGTTTCACGTTCTTGGGTGGGGTTTGGTCCGATACTTCCTTGCCGCAGGTGCCCCAAGATCGCTAGGAAGCTGTGGTTATGTTGTTCTGAGGCCACAAGTTGGATCGTCCGCCCCCCCTTCCCCATCTTTTGTAACTGCCTGTCTCGGTGCTTTGCTAAGTAGGTGCACACGAACACTTAAGTAGGGCAAGCAGTTGACAAGTTTTTGGCGTTTGGTCTCAGAAGATTGGTAATGTTTGAAGTCAAAAGGGCGCTTGTAAAAATCGGAGACCTCTTGAAACAGATGACTGTTACTATTTGGACAATAAGTACAACTTTGTTTTGCATTCTTCCGCAGTATAAGTGAAAGCTGGATGAGGAAATTAATACATTTGTTACTGTAGAAGCCTTACCGTAGATAAAATTCTTGCCAACTTACCCTAGGCTCAAATGTGTGGCTAATTTTTTGCCTGATGACTTTCTGTTACTTTTTCTGTGGAGATTGGATCTGCAGATTAAATTTGTAAAAAAAGAGAAAAAGAAAAAATGTAGAAGACCCCCTTTAGTTATTTGAAGTCTCTTTTACAAAAATAACAATTGCGAATTTTCCTTTTATTTCCCAATCTGAATGAAAGAGCTTGACTCTTGGTTATTCCTTATATCCAGTTAGCCCTCTTTTTTTTCTTTTTTTCTTTTCTTAGTCGGGGTTGGGTTGAAGGGAATGGGATGGCATTGGTTTTCTCTTTTTGTCTTTTTTTTTTTTTTTTTTTCCTGGAGCAGCTGTTTTCACCCTGTTGTCAACCAGCTACTATTTTCAGGTTGCAGTTGCACTGCTGTGGATCCCTGATGACTCTGAGTTTGCCCCAGTTGGAGGTTGTTTGGGGGAAGGGAAGTAGAAGCCAGGGCCTACATTTAAACCGGTATCTGTAAGCGCTTCCTAGAAAAGAAAGATTGCTTTTCCAGATCATGGTTTCCTGTTAATTGACTTTTAAAATGGGCTTCATTTAAAATTTTCACTAATTCAGACCAATCATTTCCCCCCCTTTGCTCTTATTTCACAGCCTTTGTCTAAATGTATGGTTTTGTCATGATTAAATATTTAATTTCACATCAGATGACAACTGACCTGGACTAGGATATAGACAGAACATAGGACAAAGTCAGTTACCTTTTAGGAAAATAGTACTACCTCTGGTGGATTATTTCATTTTTGTTCAAAGAATATAGCGTGTTCCATGCAATATAATATATAATATACCAGTGAAGTACTATGTGTTTAGCAAGTTTCTTATTTTAAAAATGATTGTAAAATTTCAGTGTTTCTAAATTGTATGTCTTACCTTATACCCTGTTCAGTGTAGACCTCCAGTTTTATTTTTGAGTTCTCAGCACATGGTTTTTAAAAAAATTGAATCTGTTGATCATCAGTGGACAGTCAGTTCCAGAATTCCTAACAAACTTTAAAGAACACGCATTAAATAAAACTTTGAATTACACTTGAGGGCCATCAGATATCCTTTTATAAATGCATGAATGACAATATCCAGGATAGTAAAGGAAAGGGAATTTATCTATAAGGACATTCTGTCACCTTATTCTTAGTTTTACTTACTAGTTTTCATCAGTGACTTTGTCATTGTAAAGTTTTGATTAACATTTTGTCTTGTTTTTCTTATTTTGCTAGGGGACTTTTTTTTTCTTGAATTGTTTTTCACCTCTAATTGGCAAAGAACAGAGATGGTCCTCATCTTTGTTCTGTATAAAAGAATGTTGATTCATTTCTGAAGAAGTGCTAGTAATTTAAGTTTTTGGACGAAAGGAAGTTCACCATTAAATTATATACATTGTAGAGTTATATTTAAATTATCGGTTTTTTCACCCCCTTCCATTTGGTGACCAACAGTTTGATCTCTGTATTTATGGGTTTGTTTCTTTTTTGTTTGTTTTGTTTTTTAGATAACACATATAAAGTGAAACCGAACGGTATTTGTCTGACTTATTTCACTTAGCATAATACCTTCTAGATCCAACCATGTTGTCTCTGATGCCAAAATCATTCCTTTTTATGACTGGGTGATATTCCAGTGTGTGTGTGTGTGTGTTTGTGTTTGTGTTTGTGTAGCACGTCGTCTTCATCTATCAGTGGACACTTAAGTTGCTTCCGTATCTCAGCTATTGTGAACAATGCTGCAATAAACACAGGGGTACATGTATATCTTTTTGATTAGTGTTTTTGTTTTCTTGGGGTAAATACCCAATAGTGGAATTACTGGATCAGGTAGCATTTCTATTTTCAATTTTTTGAGGAACCTCCGCAGTGGCTGCACCAATTTACGTTTCCACCAGCAGTGCATGAGGTTTCCCTTTTCTCCACATCCTTGCTAAATGTCTTTCTGATACTAACCATTCTGACAGGTGTAAGGTGATAACTTATGGTTTTGATTTGCATTTGCCTGCCTATTAGTGATGTTGAACATAAATTAGAATTTTTTAAATGGAATTTTTAATGCTTTTTAATTCTAGATTTTAAAAAAGAAATGGCTCATAGTAGTGTAACAGAATATTTTTTTATGTATAGAATTTTTAAGCTGAAGAGAAGTAGGTCCATGAAGGTGGTGATCTGTGTTTGGCAGGTAAGCCAGTTCAGCATGTATACTTGAATGTTCCATTGGATTCTAGCTAAATATCTGTTCTTTCCTATTTCCACTACTTTATTTTCACACGCATTTTTGACACAGGAGAGCATTTCAATCACTGTTGCTAAAATTTTCGTTTATAATTTATTCTTTTAGGTTCTAGAATTTTATTAGTACTGAAACAAAAAAGGGTACCTTCACCATTTACTTTGGAATAAGCAATAAGGATTTTAAAAGTCTCATTTATCTCACTTAATTTGAGATCCATTGAAAATCAACACAAGCCTCTTTATTATTTTGGGGCACACGGATTCAAATAACTGTATTTCTTTTCTGTTGCTGCCATAACAAATCACCTCAAATTTAGTGGCTTAAAACAAGAGAAATTTATTCTTACAGTTCTAGAGGCCAAATGTCTGAAATCAAGATGTTTGTTGGCCTATACTCCGTCTTGAGGCTCTAGGGCAACCTTTTCTTTGGCTCTTTCAGCTTCCAGTGGCTGTGGGCATTCCTTGACTTGTAGCTATATAATCCACAATCTGCCTCCGTGATCTCATTTCCTCCTCCTCTTCTGCCTGTCGGATCTCCCTCTGCCTTTCTTTTATAAGGACACTTGTCATTGGGTTTAGGGCCCACTCAGATAATCCAGGATGAGCTCCCCAAATCAGAATCCTTAGCCCAAGACCCTTTTCCCAAGTAAGGTCACATTCATAGGTTACAGGGTTAAGACATGGACAGTCTTTTGTGGGGGTCACCATTCAACCTAGTCATAACTTAGTCCGGCTTATTCTTGGAGCTGGAGTTTCAGGAAAACTTGTGGGAAGGTAGAAAGAAAGAGGGGCATTAACTGGCAGAGGCAGCAGTGAGGATTCCTGCAGGATGGACGGTGATGCAGTTACTATAACCTCGAGGTGAGGGGAAATCAGATTTACCATAATTTCTATCCTAGGATGCTGTCCCGAATGTTGAGATTTCTGCATAAATAATCATTGTAATAGTTATGATAGGTAATGAAAAATCTTAACATGTTGTTTTGGAAGCTGTTGAAAGTTAATGTATTTTTTTTCTAAATATCAGAATTCCTTTCTCATTATTTAAAAAAAAAAAAATTCTCTTTTTCCTCCTTCCAAAGGAATGAACTAAAAACTGATCATTGATATTAGCAGGGCAAAAATATCTAGTGATATAATACATGCCTCCTTAATAACATGTAATAAATATTTTAATCAAATTTTTTTCCTGCTTAAATCCTTCTGTAACACTTGGAATTTACTTTAAAATGTATTTTACATTAATGGCCCTATCTTCTAATTTGCTCTTTCTCAAATGCTAACATGATAGAACAACAAAATGTGGACTTTGAGAGAAGATAAATTTAGTTTTTCAGCTGACCTACTTCAAGTATAAAATAGTTCAAAAAATACTGGAAACAAGATAACAGAATTTAAGCTTAAGATTTTGATTTTTTTTAATATGTTCAGTTAGAATACTCTTAACTTCTCTAATAATTCATACTTTTAATTGAAACATTGTTTCAAGTTCCTTAGGAACAACCAAGGCATTCATATCTGGAGACCATTTATAACTGGTTCTTTCTATAGCACTGTTTCATCAAACATAGTCCTAGACTCTCAGTTAAATTTGTATTCTGTATCTTGTGGTGAGGGCAGCTAAACTCTTCGAATAAAATATGTTTATTTAGAATGGGAGAAGGGACCTTACAGGTCCACCTCCTTTTTACCACATCTGGATTCTGTCTGCATTTCTGCTAAAACGTTGCCCAGAGTCTTCTTGAATATCAGTAGTCCTAAAGAGAATATAAATACTTTGTATCCTTAATTTCCTTTTTCTCTGCTTATTTATCATCCATGTGAAGACCTTAAAAGACCTGAGATTACTTCCTTCAGTTTAGCTGGGGCAAGACAGAGACAGGCAGGTTTGGTTGTGCTTCTGCATGTGTGTGTTTAAGAATGACAACAGCCTTTCATAGAGGAAATTAAACATTTCCCAAATCAAATAGGGTTCCAGTCTAACACATTTTAAGTCTGGCCAGGGAATAGACTTATAGGAAAATTTTAGAAAACTGTAATTAGAACCTTGTTTTTAGGGCACCTGGGTGGCTCAGTCGTTAAGTGTCTGCCTTTGGCTTAGGTCATGATCCCAGGGTGCTGGGATCGAGCCCCGCATCGGGCT